AATTATGGTAACAATAACAAAAACTAGAAAAAGTGTTAAAGAAATATACATACATACATATGTTTATAATAACTAATTTCCTATTAAATTTGTATACTTTTTCTGTAAAAAAAATACATAAAACCAAAATTTAATATATGTAAATGTGACAAAAAAAATTAATTTATATTCATTTAAAAGTGTTTGTTTGAACCTGCAGATTGCAAACACAAAGCCGTCAATTAACCTGACACATTGCGGTTTTGCGAAGAAATTTTACACAACAAACAAAATATTATGAACAAAAAAAGTTTGTAAAATAGCGAAAATAATTTTGCGCGATCTATAAATAAACGCTTTGCGATTAGCTGCAAGTGTGATCAAATGCGAATGCATCAATTCAGTGGGTGAATCAAGTGAAAACAATGCACAACAGTACGTGGCAGTATAAATAATGCTGAATAATGTCAAATAACGGCAAATATTAACAACACTGCTTCAAATGCTAGACAAACAAGTATGTGTGGGTGTTGTATGCGTGTATTTGTGTGGATGTGTGCGTGAGTGTATGCAGCTGTTATTATTGTTATTTTGTTGTTGCTGTTTCTGTTGCATTTGATTTGCATACAAAGCGAAAAAGAGTATTTAAGTTCAACTAACTTTGCGCTAAAGTAAATTAAACTAAACGGCTTGAACTGTTACCGCGTTGCTGTTGTTGTTGTTGTAGCTGTTGCTGATGGTGTTGTTGTTGATGTGGTTGTAGCTGCTGTTGGTGATGTTTACTAATTCCCAAGGTACGCTAATAATGTATATTTATATATATATATATATATATTTATTTATGAAGTATATAAATAAATGTAAACAGTTTTGTGTATATATATGTGTACATTTGTATGTGTGTGTGTGTTGTTGTTGTTGGTCAAATTTGTGTCATAGTCAGCGTAGACGTTGAGGTGGAATATAAGAATAGAACAGCCGAAACAATTAAGATCAGATGATTTTGTTCCAAAATGGCAAAATGCATGAATGAAAGGTATAAATTTCAAATATGAATCATATAATGCTGTTAACATGATTTAGGTTATTTTATTTTATTTTTTTAACACTTAACACATAACCTAAAGTTGGTTAGATAAACGTTATCAGGAATTAAAGGTGTTGTGAGAGATTGATTAACAGCAGAAACACGTCTTATACAACTTATACATACATATATATAATATATGCTTTTATTAAAATAATATTAAAAGACTTTCGCTGCGCGTTGCAAATATAATTGCAAAAATATCTTTAAAAAAAAATGTCCAAGTATTTAGAAAGAAAATTGTAAAGAAAAGCGCTTTCAACATGGCGACACATTCTCTGCTAGATACGCGCATAAAATTTTGAGTTTAAATACTTTGTTCTTCATTTTGCTCATATAATAGTTTGTCAAAAAAGTCTTGCGGTATTTTTTTTTATTTTTTTTTTATTTTATAACGGTTTGMTGACTCATGCCCAGCACTTGACCGAGCTGCTACTATGGCGGTCTCTTTCGACCAATTCAGCGTGGAAATGGAAACTGTATCGGGTCCATAAACTGCACAAATTTTATTGGCGGCTTGAGATGCATTTTTGCCTTTATCGTAGTAGTACTGTAAAATATGCCGTATTTTCTCTTTATTTTGCTGCATGTTTGCGACGCTATAACTCACGAACGACTTAAAAGAAACGGCAATCAATCAAACACGTGTTAGCGCGTGAAATGAGCTTTCCAAAAAGGTATAGCATGACCCGATGCGACGAATAAAACTAGAACTACGCGCTCTCAGCGCCAAATAGCGAAAATACCGCAAAATTTTTTTGAATTTAGTGAATTTTAAGTAATTTAATTATTTTTATATACTTTGGCATCACATTCAAATTACTCAACTAATTTAGACATTGCTCAGCATTCCTTAAAATATATATGTATGTGTCTTTCAAGAACCTACTTATATCGTACAAATCTCAGTGTATGTAGATATATACTAAAATTGCTATACACATCCATACAATTTCAAATTCAATACCCGAAGCATATAAAACAGAAAAATATAAAATTTGTAAACTACAACTGTGTTAACAAAATAATAATAGTAATAATAATCGTACGTAAAACACAAACAAAACTAATACGCTAGTAGATATGCTTGAAAATCTCATTTACCCGCTGCTCTGGTATGCTTAGGAGTGTACGAGTACATTAGAAATGCTACTGTCGACTTTTAGGGGGGAATTACCGTTTTAGGGGAGAGCGTCAGCTGTTTCACACTGGACGTCAAACCGTTTATGTTTGCATCTGTGTTAGCTTGCTGTTGTTGCTGTTGTGTTTCCGTACTATTTACAGCGGTCAAAACCCCACCACCGCCACCACCACTGCTGCTGGTCGAAGTGGTTGTAGTTGTTGTTGTATGACTATCAACCGCAAATGTATTCGCAGCAGTCCAATAGCCGGTAGTGCTGCCGCTGTTCACCGGTCCCACCGTAAACGGTTTGTGTGCTGGACTAGCGGGTACTGTATCATCATCCACAGCAGGTGCATGCAGCGTCTGTGCAATTTGTTGCTGCTGCTGTTGTTGCAGCTGCTGCTGTCGCTGTGACTCATCGCCCGGCTCAATATCCGACTCATTGGTCTCCTCTTGTTCCTGCACAAAACATTGATTCAAATGCATAAATCATAAATTATTTGTTGTAGTTGTAGTGTTTTTAGCATACCTCTTCGGGACATAATTCATACGCCATGGTGCACGTATTCTTAGCCGATTGTGAACGTTCCAGCATATAGCCATTTGTGTTATCATTGCTCTGGGCCGGTGGTGACCACGAATACGAATTGTATTGACAGCTACGTTGCCGATCCAATTCATCTTGCAACCACTCCACGGCCATGGTCCAATGCCGTGCAATACTGGCATTCGAATTAAGCATCTGTAGGGCCACTTGTGATTTGTGGAATAGTTGTGTAAGGCATTTGATTATTTGGTATGCGCGCTTTTGATAATGCGTCTTTGTGCGCTGTATCGTCTCGAGCAGGCCTTCGCGTTCCTCCGCTACACCGTTGAGAGCATTATGTATGCGATGGTGTTGCCACGAATCTTCAATTAACAATATATGCAACAGCAATTCGGTGTGATGGCGCATATCGTGACAGTAGGCGAAACCGCATTGCCACAACAGTTCGGTTAGTACAGCACGTGAGAAATGTGGATTCTCCCAGCTGCAATACTGCAGCAATTTGATGCCCTCCTCGCCAACAGCTGTGTCCTCGATCAGTTTCTTAATATAGCTGTGTAGAGAGAAATATAAGTATTGATAATTTCAAGTGTTTCACTTTCACTAAGTACCCCGTTCGATTGAAGAGTATGTCAGCACATTCTGGAGATAATGGCACCAATTCTTCACGCCTAATATTTGAATCCTTAAATGGATTCTCAAGTGGTTGTGCATTTTGATTCGAATTCTGGCATTTGTCAGAAATATCGCTGCAACGTATTAAATGCGAGACCACTTGATGCAGTTTACTCAGTTCAGGATATTGATACTTTATCGATGGACCGGGACCCTCGTCCAAAGCGACTTGCATGAATACAAACGGCACATTCAACTGTAATTATATAAAAATATACATATTTTTTTAAATATTAGTTTAACAAAAAAATATATAAATTTAATAGAAATAAGAAATTTACAAAAAAAAAATAAACCTTTTTTGTCTCAGCAAAATTACAATTCTTGCAAATTATTTTGAAAATAGTTAATATAAAAATATAAAATAAGTATACTAACACTTCTATTACAAACAATTACAACAAGATACACTAAAAATATTTTAAAAATCAATAACTTTTTTTTAACAACTTAAAAAATATTATTTTAAAATGTGCTAGAAGTATTAAAACAGAAATATGGATGAGCATATGAGACAAAAAAATATAAACATTTTAACGCAAAATATTCTAAAAAAAAATCGAAACAGAAAAAAATAAAAAGTAGTAAAAAATGAAATAAAAATAGGAAAAAAATAAAGAATACTGATAAAAAAAAGCCGAAATAGTAAAGCAACAAATAAAAATACTACAACAATAAAAAGTAATAATAATAAAATGCTATTATTAAATATTTAAAAATCAATAAATAATTACAAAAAAATCATCATCACAAATAATAAAAAAAATTTAAATAAAATAAAATATAGTAGTAAATCATATACAAAAAAAGAAATATGAGTAAATACGATAAAAATAATATTAAAATTGTATTACAAAATATTATGAAAGAATCGAAATAGAAAAAAAGTAATAAGAAATAAGAAATTAAATAATAATAGCAAAATATAAAGAATACTAAGAAAAAATCAATAATAGTAGAAAAACAAAAAAAAAAAAACAAAAGTTTTTACAATTAAAAATATATAATATTTTGTATTATTAAATATATAGAAAAAAAAACAGAAAATAATAAATAATTAAAAAATTTAAAACAAAATAATAAAAAATTAATAAATTTAAAAATAAAATAAAACTAAAAAAGTTATAAAATATAATAAAAATAAAATATAGTATGAAATACACTAAACAACACTAAAACACATACAAAAAAAAAACTATTTTATAGTATATTCTACAAAAACTGTCGGAAAAGGTAAAATTTTTTTGAAAGTACACAAAAATAATAACATATTTGCATATTCATGTTTTCTGCACAATAATATTACAATTTTTTTTAATATTAAATAAACATTAAAATATAAACTCGAAAAAAATATTTCCAATACTAAAATAGATACTCAATAAAAGGTCACGTACCTTCAACAGTTGTTGCTTTTCCGGTATGCCCAAGCCCACATACATGCTAAATAGACTAAAGTAGTGCGGCAAATGTTTGCCATAATCGACGGCTTCACACTTCAACAAATCCAAAACGCTTATTAAAATCTGTTCACACAAATTGCTGCCTTCGTAGCCAGCCAGCGGCTCGTCGGCTATGGCAAAGTGACAGAAGAAAACCACCAATTTGACAAACACAGTGCGAACTTCCGGCGATGGTGCCATCAATATATATTCACCCAAACGGGATGATGGATTGAGTAGAGCATTGGCGGCGAACCATTTGCGCACGAGCGAAGAAAAACGAATGTGATGTGATAAAGTGTCGTACCTGGAAAGTGTAAGCAAATCAAACATAAGTATAAATATGAACCTCTAATGTCCAATATAAATAAATTAAACGTACCACTCAATAACCGGTCCGCGCAACGATTTTTTCGTTCTAAAACCTGTATGAAATAAGAATTGCGATGCTAGTTGAACACCCAGCAATGAAAGCTCCTCAGCAGCTGGTGTCTGCGATAAATAGGGAAAGTAGGTAAGCATATTTAAAACCACATACCATGTAAAATACACATACCATTTTGTCCGGACGTGTTGACGGTATACTACAGCTAACTAATTTTTTTATGAAATTAAAAAATTCCACCGAGAAAATACTCTTCGAGTGCAGAAATCGTACATTTTGATGACTGTGAAATAAATTAAGAATTAAAATAAATAAAAAGAGTGTTTTTGTGTGTGCAGCAGGGTTTTGAACAATAAGTTAAAAAAAAATAATTGAATTAACATTAAAATTATATATTTTTTTGTAACCCCTTAATTCATAGTAAAATTTGAAATTTTTACGTATACAAAAATTTAATAAAAAAAAAATTATTAAAAAATATACATTTTTTTCTCAAACAACAAAACACTTTAAGTTCAGTTGCACCGAAACCATGATAGCGTTCACAAATTAAAAAGGTTCCATACTAAAACATTATTTTGATCCCTTAGTTTGTATGGCACCTATCTGTCCGATCCGAACAATTTCTTCGGAGATTCTACAGCTGCCTTGCACAATAATTCATGCCAAATTTCCTGCATTTTAAATGCCAGCATTTTGAAATCAAAATTATAATTTTAATTTTTAATACAAATTTTGGAAACCTTTAACTAAAAAAATGGCAACCCTGTTCTTCCAATATTATGCACTCACCGCACGCTGCGTTCGATTGGTTTTGGCAGCGGTAAAACAAAATTACGACTTTCGGCCAATGACAATTGCTCCACACAGGGTTCGAATTGTATAGGTTTTTGATCGCAACGCGTATAGAAAAGCATATATGCATTCCACCAGCGCTTCTGACGCCGGTATTGCATTCGCTTCAAATTATTATCGTAAATTTCGCCCATGTAATCGCCACCGAAACATTGCGCTTTCAATTCCTCATCTTCGTGCATTTTACATTCACTCACTTCGCCGTCGTCGAATTTATACCATTGCTCCTTGCCAGTGGAGGGATTTCTAACGAAATACAATTGATGTTATATTAAATGTTACCAACCATATACATATATTATGCAAATGTATAGTGCAACTTACTTAGAAAGTATATAACTAAAGTAATGGCCACCGGAAGCCTGTCCGCTATGGACCACAATGCCACTTAATTCATATTTGGTTGTTTCGCCATTCGATTGGCAATTATCACCCACCTCAATGACTTCACCCTCCAATTTGGCTAGGCCAGAAACTGAAAAAAAGAAATATGAGTCATTCTTGAGTTAATTTGATTAGGAAAATATGCAGCGGCAGTTTAGTTTTCATTAATTAAAAATTCTTATTCGTGTGTTGTAGGTATTAGTTTCTTACCTGTATACGGTTCCATATCAAGAACGCGTGGGAACTCAAAGTAATCATTAAATTTAATGGCGCAAACGCGCTCGTAATCATATTCGAAACGCTTTAATTGAATGGCTAACACAGGCGGTAGTTTTTTTACACACAACCGCTTAATTGTAACTACCTGAAATGATAAAAGAAATTTAAGTTTGAGTATAATGTTTGTATATGAATTAAATAAAATGAAACACTATCGATAACTGCAATTTTATTCGCAAAAAATTATCGTAGATCATCATATATGTATGTATATGTACCTACATAACATTATCGCGCGATTTGCTACAAACAAATTTTCGAATTTCCTTAATTAAAAAATGTTGTATTACATTAGATTTGCAATTTTTAATCGGAATTAAAAATTAAAATTTTAATTTTCCAGCGAAAATCGGACTTATAAATTTACAAAATATACATTGTTTGGATGTGTAAGTTTGCCAACCAATTAAAATATTGAAGATGATGGCTTTGTGCAAGATCTAGTTCACTATGGTAAGCCACGAGATACGCAGTCGTGAAAAAATGTTAATTATTTTTTTTTTTTTAATTTTTTGAAACTTGCGATTATTTTTTTTAATCTGGTATTCGAGATTAAAAACTTATTTTTTAATTTTTCAATCCGATATTTGAAATTACACACATGACTATTATTTCAATTAAAATTTTTGTAATTACAAAATAAAGAATAATTCAATTTTCAATAATTTTTAATGTTTTATCTGCAACCCTAACTACAACTATTATGCTTCTTATTATTATAACAAAAACAAAATACATGGAAACTGTAAATTTTTTAAACGAAAAAATTACCATTTTACCTAGAGCCATATGAATATAACCTATTTATAATGTAACCTAACCTAACTTAAAAAATCTACATTTATAGGCATCCAAGTTGTAACGGTACCCAACATTTTTTCTACTTTGTAGCTTACTTTTTTATCACATTTATCACAATGGTATGCATCAGCGCCCTCTAACAGTTCCCCTTTGACATACTGCTCCAGCGATTCTGTTAATGAGCTATGATTTCGTATATCCACGCTGAACACACTGAACGGCTCCTCCTTGGAGTAACGATGTGGGCACTCCTGACATATCTTCTGATCGCTAAACGAACCACCCAATGTGGCGTTCATCAATTGCGTATGACCCAATGCCTTAAGACCTTCATCCAGACTCTCGAAGAGCGACATAAAGAATTCAACTGCATCTTGTTGCTCGCGCAAATTAACCGGTTCACCTTGTAGTCTATGAATAAAAACAAAATCAGTACATAATTATAAATTTAAGAGTTTTAGTCTTATGCAACTTACTTAAAATATGCCCACAAGCCACGTGGCACATAGTATTGCAACGAACTGTGACCCAGATGGCCAAATATCGCCTGCACATATTTTAATATGACCACGTGATAGTTTTTCCGCACATCAGTGTTGCTGCTATTGTCTTCACCGTTACCGGCACTGGAGAAAAGCGCACTATTTATGCTAGCCACATCAGTTTCGCCGCTGAAATCTTCATTCTCAATTATAGCAGCACCGTCAGCCTTCAATATACCGACGCGTATGGATGGCACCATATACAATTGTTGCAACACCGAATTCATGTAGCACGTGGCGCCGGCATTCTTCAAACCACAAAAACCTTTGACGGGTCGTGGACCAACCGGCGGTAGAAAGTCCCATTCACGTAACGGATCCGTATCGGTGCACACGAAATCGATTAGCGTGTTGGTCAGCAATTTCATGTTAGGAACACAATTTTGGCAGAGTGCTATCAAGAAATCGCAAGCCGCCGCTATGGTGTGGGGACTACGACAAACGGGTGGGGGTGATGTGGGATTTCGCAATTTGTTGAACTTGCGCAAGTGCAGGTATTCACGTGAAGCCGGAAAGAGGAAAATATCAATTATCTCGTCGATCAAATCGGTAAGTTGGGCCTTGGTCTCTGGCGACAAAAAGAACATCAATTCTTTGGCCAAACACAGATGACCCTCCAATAGATCCTCATGCACCTGTATGTCACCGGTATGTATAACATTTTCCCGTATCTTCTGCAGCCAATTGATCTCCTCGGTCAGTAAGCCGTCCCCAATGTTCAGCGGCCAATTGCACACACTGCCATAGGAGAGGGTGCGGCAGAGCAATTGAAAGAAATCGGCGCAAGTTGCCTCGTATTGTGGCACGAGCGTTTTCAGCGAATTCACCAGCAGATTAACCATATATGCGAATGGACGACGATCACCGGCACAGTAAGTGCACGAGAGAAACAGCTGATCGGCGGCGATTTGACGCACATGACGCGATGGATTCTTCAATATAAGCGATGTAATGAATTTCGGCCAAATCGGGTCGTTGTTTAATGCCTCGTTAGCACTGGGATTAAGTACCAATGAAATGGTTAGCACTTCGAGCGCCTCTTTACACATGGCAAAGTCCTGCGCATCCGGCATTGATATATCATTGGCAAAGTCATTTTTATTGCCAAGCGCTTGCAGATTGCCACACGATGATGACCAAGCCAATTGTATAACAGCCTTGATGGTCGCTATGTCTGGGCAGGACCACTGCAGCGTCGAGCTGAATAGTATGCGACAACGTTCACCCTCGGCGCTGGCCGAAAGCATTTCTGCGGCTAAATTTTCAGCCAATTTTGTGGAGATGGCGCGCATGGTGCTCTCCGAATTGTTCGGTATCGAATTTAGTATTTGCTTAAGTATTTCAACTTGTGAACGTGCGCCTACATCGAAATCGCGTAGCATCGGCTCGTCGCCGACACGTGACAGCACATAGCCCACGGTGTAGAGGAACAATCTTGCAAGATGTAGTACACAATGAAATGCCGCACGTTTGGTATGCATATCGGCATTGGGTAGGAAATTATTTTTTGTCAACAACTCGAGTATGAAATGTGCACAGCCCGAATGTAACCAAGCCGATTGAACTTGCATTGCCGCCTCGCCGTAGGGATCCAAAGCTGGTATCAGCAAACCATTCAATACACCCAAATTGTAGAGTACCTGTGCGGGTGTGCCATGCAGAAATAGCATCTCAGGTGTGCATTCCTGCAGATTGATCTGTTCAGAATAGAAAATTACAATAAATTAGTTGTAAATAAATGCGTTTTAAGTTGTAAATTCTTCATTACCTGATCACCATCAAAGGCGGTTGTATTTTGCACAACACCACTGCCATTGCCTACGCCCACCGTTTCAGCCTCTTCCTCTTTTACGCCACTTGGTATAGCGCTACTACCACTAACGGCATCCACTGTCACCGCGGCCCTAACAACATCATTGGTGCCGCCCTGCAGTTGTCCCTGCACGCGACACATGGTTTGCAACATCTTTACGGTGTGCCAGTCACATGGCAACAAATGCAACAATGATTTTGCGCTCTCACGCAACCGACCATGATCTAAGTCGCTGCCCAGTTGATATAGCTTCAGGAAAAACTCGGTATATTTGTAGTTCTGTGCGATGATCACACCGGGCAGCGTGCTCTCCGACTCGACACGTTGCATGTCGGGGCAGGGACGTGGCGGTGAGCCGGTGCTGGAGTCGCTCGATGAATCGGGGCTACTGGCCAGCCCTGGACCGACTGGTGTCAACTTGGCTGTGAGTATCATTTTATCACGTATGGCATACTGATACAGTGGATTGATCTCATCGCTAATCTCAATTAGTTCACCGTTATTGTAGAACAAATCGACCTTTATGTTGGCTGGTGAATTGCCTTTGATGCGTTTCAATAAATTGCGCTTGAATGATGCCACCGTCTCGTTACTGTGTGTTGTCACCTCAATATCGTCAATGGGTCGGCCGGGATTTTGAAAGCGTATATAGAGACTAGTATTTTTGCCGCGTGTCACCCGACTAAGGGGCAATAGGTAGCGATCTCCATTAAATGAACGATCACATTCTTTTATATACTCTTGCAATACTTTTATAATACGGCACATTTTCTCAGCTTCAATGAAACGATCCTTAATATCCTTCGAATCGGCATCCGCTTGGCTAGGATCATTTGAACTGTTGCTGCCAATTGTTTTGCCCAAAATAATTATATTACTATAATGTGTACGCAGTCGTTCGCAGCATTCGGCAATGAACATTTCATGAAAATCACAAATACTCTCCTGCAGGCGCGGTCCTAGCGCTGTCGAAACCTCTTTTAGCAGATCAATAGCCTTATTGGCGATTTCTTCGCCACCCGTGGTAATGACACGCCACAGATAGTCTTTACCAATGAGATCCTCATTGTCAAGTATATAACCGCGATGTATTGCTTTCAATTTATCCTCCTTGGAGTTGACAGCCTTGAAGAAGCGTTCGAAGCATTTGATACCACTCTCAGTCAACAATTGCGGATCGAGTTGTAAAATATTGTTTTCGAAGAAGTCTTTATTTATGCCTGGATCCAGATCGGGTTCTTCGCCCATTAATTTACCAAACCATCGAAAACATTCTTCACGATCACTTGGGAATACCGCGCTTACCGCCAGGCAGTGCCAAATTTGCTTCGCCTAAAGGAGAGATATTATGAATGAGAGCTACTATATTTAAAAACATTTTACGATTTAAAATAAAATACTATAGAAATTTAAATTGTAACATAAATTACATTTATATAAAATGGCTTCTAGAACTAATTGATGTAGCCGTGCCGATACGGTTGACTTGCTTTATTACAAAAGTTGGGTCTAAGTAACCGATATGAACATGGGTTTTGATTCGATTAAGTATTGTCAACTCGCCAGCATTTCTCAAAATAATTTAGAGAATCCTTTTTGTTGATACAACGGATGTTTGTGTTGTTCACTGACGACAGAATGACCAAGAAATTAAATGTAGGATAGGTCTAATTAAAAAAATCAAACGCAGATCGGACTAGGCAGCCAATGACATATGTCACCTTCACTTCCGGTAGAATTCTAATTCTAATTCCTTTCTGGTAACGTAGAATCGTCTGTATGTCACTAACTTTTACTTATATTCTTAGTTGTTGTTTTTGTTGTCGCGGCAATTTCGAGGAATGGTGTCAAGTTGACAGTTCTTGGCAAGATAAAAACCCGCGTTCGTTCCGGTTACTTGGGCCAGATTGTCGTGTTAACGGTCTCATTCTAAGTTTTATTACTCACCTGTTCGGCACACAACCACAGTTGACCATCCTTCAGCAAGAACTTCAGAAAATCTAAACGCTCTTGTATTTGCATATTATGTGGATATCTTCCATCGATACATAATGAGTTCGGCTCCACATTCGGCATCTCAGCGATCATAGTGCGTATTTTGTCCATATACGTTGTTAAACTATTTGTCACCAAAATCACCAAAGTATAGTCGTTTTGCAAACGCTCGATGACTTGTTGCCGATTAAGTGTTTGCTGTGGACGGGGTGCATGGCTGGGCAAAGAATCGTATAGGCAACAGATTTCACGTATTAAACGTAAAGCGGGCAACACCCAATTATCACCACTCTTCAATTCTTGTACACATTTATCCAACCAGACAATTTTCTGCGCGTCACGCTCTTGCGAACAGCTATAGTCCAAGATTTTTACGTGTGCCGCCAAAGCTTGATCCAATACATCTGGTTGTATTTCCTGACTATGTGCCAACGTCCAAAAAAGTTTCAATACTTTTTGTGCCATTACACCATTTTTATCGTCTTCGGCCAAGCGTCTTATCAATTCAAGCAGTCGTTCCCGTTGACGCTTATTGGCGTTTGTCATGCTTGTCTAATATCGCGTGGTAAGGAGGCAATTTGAGATATAGTTATTTTGTGTTAAAATTTTTTTGATTAAATTTATGCCATTTACTACCTGAAACGATTCGAAGAGATGATCCAGCTGTTCGGGTGTAAAATCCCAAGCCAATTTCGCCAAAAGATCGTGCACATTCTTTACAATCGCCTCATGTTTACCCGCTTGTGCACGCCAAACGGCATCTAAATCCTCTAGCGTCAATGCGTGTTCTTTGATCAGAAAGCGAATGATTTTCTCCAGCTTCTCCACATATTGGGGTTGATGTAGTGAATCTTTCAAAACAATACCCAGCACATCAGAGTCTTTAATCCAGTTCTTTGAAGAAAACGGATTTTTATTAATATTTGGAATAATATCTTCATAAAAATGTGAGAAAAAATATTATTTACTTATTTATGTTTTTAGATTTTTAAAAGTTTTCACTTTTGCCTACTTTCTTCTTAAAACAATCTCAAATCTAAATCTAAATATTCCATTTACACGAAATATTAATTTTGGAATACACAATTTTTTGTTTTGCCAACTTCCAACTAAATCTTTTATACCCTGAGCACGGTATATTAAGTTTGCCACTATATTTTTAACACCCCGAATAAAACGTCTGAGGCGATATAAAATATATATAGCGATGTTCATATGGCTGTGTGTATGCTTTTCCATCTGTCCCTCAGTTTTTGAGATATCAATATGCCAATATCATCAAAATCAAGTTCTTGTACGAAAAAAACTTTTTTTGACAAGATATCTTCAAGAAATTTCGCATAAATTATTGTCTGAGGCAAAACTATAATATCCGAATAAATTTCTCAAATCGGACCACTATAGCATAGTTACAATACAAAGTCAAGCTTTGATGGGTTTTACGGCTTCAATGTCACCGAAGTTAACGTTTTTCTTGTTTTTCTATTTATTTACTATTTTTGTACTCACAGCCATGCGCTCCGCCGTTAACCAGTCCATTTCATCATCTGGCAGGCAGTGTTGTAATTGCTGCGTGCGATGTGAATAATATGAAACAGAGCTGAGCACTTTATTGATTTCATTTAGTGCATTCATTTTGCCATTGAAACTAGAGACTTGTAGTAGACGTAGTATCATTTTCAGACGAAACATTTCCAGATCTCGTATCAAATCCTCTTGTCCTGGCAAACGACTTGCCAACAAACGTGCCGACTTCACAATACCGTTAATGTAATCGTTTCGTCCCTCTGGTTTCGCTTCACGCTTCAATTCATCATCGGAGAAACTATCTAATAGATCCAATACCACATTCCAAATTGGCATAAAATATTTGGCAATAGTAGCAGGTGTTAATAGCTCACTGCACTGCCCGAAAGGACGTAGTAGGCTAAATATCAACGCCAATGTTAATTTATTATCTTGACTTTCGTCGGACGACTGTGACGATTTGCTAGTCTTGCTGCTTAAATCTAAGCCAGATCCCGACGATTCGAGTCCACTTTGCTCTTGATTCTTCTTTAACAACTGCAAACCACAATTGAATCGTTCTAGCAGATTATCGAAACCGCCAAGCTGACCGAAACGATTGATCAAATCAACAAGCCAGCCACGCGGATTTTTAGGCTCTGGTGGTGGTTTAGCAAACATTTTATTAGCGTCTAATACGCCCCAAAGAAATTCCGGAGCAGCAAAACAACTGGGTTGACGTGCGGCATTGAATGTATTAAACTTGTTCTCCGGATCAAAGACCATAGCAAGCAAATCCAATAAATAGGGATTATCACGCGGCATATGTATGGCAATTAAATGGAGCAATTTGCCGCAGGACAATAAAATGCAATGATGGATATTGTATTTCCATGAATTAACCGCCTCGTCGGTGAGGATTTTTGAAAAGGAAGTAGTAAGGGCATTGCGATAGAATTCCACGCATGGTTCGCAGTCATGATCCACACCTAAAGCCAAAAAAAAGTATATAAGTTTATGTAATTGAATTTTTTTGCACATCAAACGTTCTACATACCTGCTGCTGTTAGCGCAATTGCTGCGTTAAGCAATACTTCCAACTCTTGTTCAGGCAGCACTGGTACAACCCAACGTGGATTTGAGATCTTTTGTGTCAATGAGCGCAATTTTAACGTAGGAAACGATGAAATTAGTTTTTCGGGTGTTCTAGTAATTTAAAATGAAAAATATCTATTTTAATGCACTAGCGTAGAAAATTTTAATTTTATGAAAGTAAGAACAAAGATTAGGTATGTGTTAATCAAATTATATGACTCATACATTTTATATGTACTACTAGTTGTGTTCTTGTTTTTATTAGCCCTAACATTTAAATTTCTCCTTCTTAGGCATTTATATTTGCTCATGTTGTGATAAGACATGAGCAATTTTAAAGTTAATTTAAAAATTTTATAAAATAAATGTTATTTGTTGTCCATTTTAAACTTTAAAAATAGTATTTATTAAACTGTTGCCAAATTTCCTGCAATATATTCGAAAATCGAGGAGTTTTAAAAAAAATCTCTTTTCATTTTAATTGTTTACCTAACACGGAAAAAAATCTATGTTAAACTTCTAATGTTTAGGAAAATGTATTTCAGATGATAAAAAGATCAACGGTAATAACAAGCTTACATGTTGTCGACAACAGCGTTGTTGACCGTTGTCTCTCCACCCTGCGAAGTTGCATCCGGATTAACTGTAGAAGGTGTAGGTTGTTCTACACTGCCATTGTTAACGCCTCCCCCACTACCGCCGCCAGTAGTATTCCCAAGGGTTGTACCACTATTACTATTTAGATTGCTATTTGTATTTGCCGTGCCCACATTTGAATTATCGTTACCGGTACTACCACCTCCCCCGCCTGTCTGGCGTCCGCGTGTATCAAACGTCATCTCTTCGTGGTAGTTAACTGAGGCACTGATACTGCTGCACTTTAACAATTAAATGCAACTTCTAATCTGTTTGGAATATACGTCGTTAATGTTTATATAAAATAGATTATTATAGATTTTATATCATATACATACATTTATTGTATATTACAGTCTAATCTTCAGATTTGGCATTAATTATAATTACCTTTTACAGCCACCGCCGCTTCCACAGCTGCAACCTTTTGATTTTGTGCTTCGTTGTTATAGCCGTTGTTACTTTTTGGTGATGATCTATTAGTAGCTGTTGCAATAATTATTACTTTATTGTTTATATTATTGCTTTATTTTAAATTGTCGATGAGAATTACTTTAAATATTGCTTGCTGCTCTTTTACCTTCTTGACCCTTAATTAAGCACAAGCAATTTGATGATTTTGCTATCGGTCATTTACATATTCAATTGGGAGAAGTATAAATCCATTTACTGAAAATAAAGTTAGCCACAAAAGAGAATGAGTTAGAAACATTGTAGCAGAAATCACTTCAGAATCTGATAAGTTACGATGAATTGGAATGTAACCGCAAAGAAAGATGGAATTAGCCAAGAAAAACGGAAAATCAATACTAATAAAATTTGTTAGACGTTGTCACATTTATTTTTTTTTATTGCTAATTCACTCGCTATATAAGCACTTTAAACAATATAGCATATTATTTTAAATGTAAATATGTTTCTAGTAATATTACATCACTTTGTTCTTTAACATTATTAGCAATAGTATCGCTCTCCTTGTTCCAGAAAATGTATATGCATCTTCGCTAGTTTCGCATTTCGTTTTAGATCTAAACGTTTAAAGAATTCAATAATATGTTTTGAATAAAACATTTATACACAACTTATTAGCTAAAAGCAGTTATTATTGTATAATGATTGTTTATATACACGTTTTAATTGTTTTAGTTTAAAAATTAAGTATTAATAAAAAAATTTTAATTGACACCTTTTCACGATATTGAACCGGTGTAAGTTTGTTATATTGTCAGAAAGTTTTATATAGTAGCATATATCACAGAATTATTAATTGCTAGGTTTATTTCTATTTCAAATTACGCACTCATCTAAGTTCCAAAAGCAATCGTAAGACAAATTTCCCATGTATAAACACAATGTTAAAAATTCAGTTGCATATCGATTATTGATTTTTATATCCCATTTTCTCCTTTTCACATTTCGATGTTCGGCTCAGCTGCGCACTTTTCGTTGTTTACTCATCACTACTCGTTTCTTCACACAAATTTGTTATTCAATTGCCTTTTTATTTTTAATTCGAATAAATGCGATATTCGTTTATGTTTACGACACTTTTGCTAATTCTTTTAATAATCTTGTTTGTTTTCCTTCATTTTTTCCCCAACAGCGGACTGACTATTCAAAAGCAAACACAGAGATGCCAGTCCGTTATCGCTCACTCACTCTCCCTACAGCTGTACCCTACACACTTTCTGGTCTTCCTCAAATGCATTCTTTTCGCCGTCGTTAAGTCTCCTTTTTCGCAATATCATATTATTTCTTCCTTCCATTCCAAACTCACCATTTTTTGCATCCGCCCTATTACCATTGGATTGCAGTCGAATTCCGCTTTGTCTTGATTTTGCAATTATTTGACCACTTTACAATTATATACCACAACTATGCACAATTAGCAATGATCATTTATCCTTTTGATTACTTTAACTTCGGCTCTTTCTTTTCGACTACAACGTCACCGTCTAATCAACTCAATATTTTTTTAAGATTAGCGAATTTTCCATATCCCGCAAGCAAAATCAGCCGGCCAGTAGACAAAATGGCGACTCAGCCACTGTGGTGAAATAGGATCTTCCTTGCTAGACTCTTTGCTGCTCCGCTTTGATTTTTCCTTCACTATCTCTCCTATTTTCACGTAATTTTTTACAATCGAAAATTACTCGTTTAAGCAGATTTACAGATTTTTACGAAGTTTAACACCTTTCGTTATTACTGAATATTCTTTTCTGTATATTAATTAATTTTTAATTTTATTATTTAGTACAAATTCCCTTTGCGTCGTTTTACAAAATTCAGTCGACACTTTTCGGGAATCGTTGCAAAAAAACTTGCCGAGTTCTTTCGAAACAAGACGTCATTTGATTTTTGGCAGTTATGAGGTGAAATATATCTAATATATTTACCCAAAAGAGTTGCTAAGTGTAAGTAAAAATAATTTCCGCAGAAATATTTGTATGTAACTAAGCTCTGTGCCATTTTTTAAATTCGACAATTGATAAGGTGTCCAGAATATCGTAAATGTAAATATTAAATAGTCATTATTTACATTATGTATATTATCATGGCTGGGAAAACTTAAAAAAATCGCAAAATTCTATAATTGTTTAGTTATACTAGAAATAAAATTGTAAAAAATAGATCTGTTTGACTTGTGAAATTTGTATTTTGTTATGAACTAGATGCAAAAGATGTTTCTGCGTTAAATAATACAGCAATCCTATCACATTCATCCAACAAAACAGCTGATAAAGAGCTCGTGTATCACACAAAGCTTAAATGTCAATAGCCGTATACACCAGAGTCTGTGAAAATCCACCAATAAATATAGTCGTGGCAACCATTAAAGAATCCAATAGGAATTTGACATTTCCTATATACTCCAAAACGAAAGAAAAACGAAAAGCGGAAAAAACTACGTGTCTCGATGAAATATCTTAAAAGGATTGTTCTATAAAACCACTAAAAGGTCCATAAATTCGGAATTACTAGTTTCAGAAATCTAAAAAAGTATAGTCATAGTATTGCAATTTTGCGAAAGTTACGAGTCTCTTGCCAAATTTTGTACATACAGTTGGCTAGTTTTGTATTTATTTGTATTTTACGTGTGTGTTGTTTCCCATTCTATATAGTTGGATGCTTGGGATCTTTTATATTGTATTGAATAGAAAATTCTACAAGCTAAATTCAAAATTAATATATTTCTGGAGTCAATCAGCCTATTGGCTGTACTTGCTACCAACAACGACATAATGCAAATATTACTTTCGTCCGTATGTCTGGCGTTGACGAGCATCGTCATCGGGAACGCCTACTACCAGAAGAAGCAATTTTATCCTGCGGTTGTGTACATCACCAAATCGAATGCATCTATGGCCGTATGTATCATATATACACAGCGTGTGTATTTTTATTGTAAAAAGGACAACTATAAAAAAATACCAACTATTATTTATACTTTTTTTAATTTTTTTTTTCAGGTTATTTATATACAGTTTTTCGTTATAGTTTTCATGTTTGGAAAGTTATTGCGCAAGGTTAGTTACATATCATATAACTTAATTTTTTAAAGTACTATTTTAATAATATTTCTTTAGATTTTCCTGGGTACATTACGAGCAGCTGAGTTTGAACATCTATTGGAACGATTTTGGTATGCCCTGACAGAAACATGCCTCGCATTCACTGTATTCCGCGATGATTTCAATCCGCGTTTTGTAGCACTGTTTACAGTTTTATTGTTTCTGAAATCATTTCATTGGTTGGCAGAAGAACGCGTTGACTTTGTAAGTTCTGCAATAATTCAGTCTTGTAGCGCAATATGTTTAAAAATCAGTAGTATCTTTTATATTTTTTTAACTGTTTATACTTTTTTACACTGAGCCGGATATATTAAGTTTGAAATACCCATAAGGAAACTTCGGAGACCTTATGAAATATAAATATAAATAATCAGCATGATAAGCAAATTTGATTTAACAATGTACGTCTGTCTGTATATATGCGAACCAATTCCTCAGTTTATGAGATATCGACCTGAAATTTTCCATATATCCTTTTCTCACAAACAAGCTGATCATTTGTCGAAACCGCCTATATCGGATCTCTATAACATATATGTATATAACTGTCAAACAATCTGATCAATCAAAATCATATATGATAGAGATATTTTTATATATAGATATACTATAAGAAATGTACCAGAGAAGGGTATTACATCTTCGGTATATCCAAAGTTAACGTTTTTCTGTTTAACTTAAGATTTCAAATGTAATTTTTTTTTACAGATGGAGCGGTCACCTGTACTTGGTTGGCTATTTCATATACGCGTAGCAAGTCTTCTCGGAGTACTGGGCATTTTAGATTACTTCTTACTTATGCACGCCTATAATTCCACTCTAGTTCGTGGACCAACAGTGCAGTTAGTTTTTGGCTTTGAATATGCAATATTGCTAACTGTAGTTGCGAGTACGGCCATCAAATATGTGTTACATGCTGCTGAAATGCGAACTGATGTACCATGGGAAAATAAAGCCGTATTTTTGCTCTACACTGAATTGGTGATTGGCTTGATCAAAGTAATTCTCTATTTATTGTTCGTGTTTATAATGGCCAAAATATACGCATTACCGATGTTTGTATTCCGCCCAATGTTCTTTACGATAAGAAATTTCAAGAAAGCACTAATCGATGTCATTATGTCAAGACGCGCTATACGAAACATGAACACACTTTATCCTGACGCTACTCCTGAGGAACTACGACTTTCAGATAACATATGTATAATCTGCAGGTAACTAAAATGTTAAAATAACGGTATTGGTAATTTAAATAAAATTAAAATCGAAACTATTAAAATTAATTTACAGAGAAGACATGATTAACCACTCAAAAAAGTTGCCTTGCGGTCATATTTTCCATACCACTTGTTTACGTTCGTGGTTTCAACGTCAGCAAACCTGCCCAACATGTCGCCTAAATATATTACGAACACCTAATGCAAACTCTACAGCGATTCCAAGACCAGATGAGGGGGTGGGTGGTGGAGCTGCGGGTCAAGGTGCTGCAGCTGCTGCAACGCCTGCTCCTGCGGCTGTTGCTGCTCCCATACCAAATCAGGCAAACGGTGCTGAGATGCCTCGAGTTGACGGTGCAGCACCACCCAATGCTGCGAGTGTCCCAGGGTTGTTTGAAAACATGGGCATTGGCAATGCTGGTTCAAATAATTTGCCTGGTGGACTGCCGTCGAATCCTACGACAGCAGCACCACCCAATTTCCCAACTTTGCCCTTGCCTCCACCATTCATGATACCGCCTCCATTTCCCTTTATTGCACCATATGCTGTACCACCACCACCTATGCCGTCGGATCTAAGTACTTTGAGCGATGAAGAATTAAAATTATTAGAAGGAAATGAACGCCGTAATGTTGAAGAACGTATCAAGGTTTGTAGTTGAATTAGATCTTACACCCCCTTTAGTAAGCCATTTTTCTAATTGGTTTAGCTGCTACGAAATATTGAGTTAATGCTGAATGCTGCAGGAATACTGATGAATAACTACCAAATAATTACTGCGCGTTTGCAAACGACAGTATCATTACCTACCGAAACTGTAGCGTCTTCGAACAACACCACCAATAATACTATAAATAATACAAACGAAAAACCCAGTACATCAGCGGCTGCTGCTGCAGCGCTTGCTGAAAATCAGTTGCATATATCTGGCACCAGTAATGTTRCATCAGTAGCGAAACCAACAGTTCTTGCAGAAAGTTCAACACATCCTCCATTGCAAAAACATGGTGATGTGACAATTGAAGATTTAGGCGGCGAAGAACATGAATACGGTGTTACGCAGTGTGGTGATGCAGTACAGGAATCAGCATCATCCTCGGTGCATACGCCGGGTATTGAGATCTGTACTGATGACAAAACCACCAGCATTACAGCTGCACAACCCGAGAATACCGAGCTCAGTGAACTGAGAAAACGACGTTTAAAATTCCTTGAAGAAAACAGCAAATTGTCAACGCCAACAACAACTTCTGAAAACACTTCAAGCGATTAGAGGACTTTTAGCTTTATATTGTTTAAGTTTTGTTTTTCAAGATTTTTGTTGTATTGGGAAATTAACGGGTGGAAAAAAGTAATTGCTGTTCAAAAAGAAAAAAACATATATAAAAAGACGGAAATTATGTTGAAATTATGATAGAAAGAATGGAGAAATCATGAGCTGAACTGTATTTAATAATATATAAATAAAACAAAAATAATATACACTTACATACATAAATAAATGAAAACTCAATTTGTACTGTTTAATTTTTATTTTGTACATCAATATTTGCGTTTAGTCAATTTCTCAAACAATTGTCTTCACTGGACATCATGAAAACAGAAAAATTTACTAATTTTGTTGCCATTAGTACAATATAATTTCCCGAATAGATTGGAAGGATAGGAAAATATTTGAAATAATCACTATTGTTATGAACTAAAAGTTTTAAAATTGCTTACTGTCGAGATATATCAAATTTCTACGTCTCTTTTGAAATATGCTATTGTGTCAACCGCGAGGTGGATTTATGTGGAAAAAAATCAAATGGTGTGGTGGATTTACTAAAACTTTTGTGATCAAAGGGATAAGTACTTATACATTTTCTGCCACAATTTTGAACTTCAATGTACTTAACATTGTGGGGTAATGTTTAGAAAATCAAGATATGAAGTGAATGAAAACATATGTTTTTTGACAACTGCAATGCCAAGATTCACACGCTGTTGTCGAGTCGCACGTGTAGTCTGAACATATTTTTATAACAGCGTAAGAAACTCAAAACATTAAATATGGCGAAAACTAAAAGAAAGTTAGGAGAGGAGGTAGTGTAAATAATATTTTTAAAATATTTGTCGAAACTTAATATTTACTTAAACAGCAGTATAATGATTCTGCGGATGACTCCATGATTGAAAATGGCACCAGCGGTGAAGATAATGAAAGTGATGATGGTTCCCCGGAACAGAACGAAGGCAATAAACCATCTGAAAAAAAGTTGAAAAAGATGCAAAAGAACAAGATGCCACAAGACAAATCAAAAGTTGCCCCCAACACAAACAACAGTAATGCTAGCCAAGTAAAGATAAAAAAACCCACGGGTGAAAAAGTGAAACCACCAACACTTGAGGAGATTAATGAGCTGAAGGAAACGCGTAATCTATTCCATTCGAATCTATTTAGGTTACAAGTGAAGGAAATGTTGGCGGAAGTAAAAATTAAGGACAAGTACACCAACTATATCAACAATTGGCTGGAACGTTTTAAGCAGTTTCTAAACGAACTGCAAAATCAATCGGAGAAAGAAGATATGAACAATCAGGAGTGGTTGAAGAAAAGCCAAATAAAACTTCCTATTTCGCTACATAATTTACATGTGGAACAACAAAAGGTTTTTCAATTTCAATTTATCAAATCCAAAGTATCGCCATACCTTATAGGTGCAGCCGCTACTCAGTCATTACTCGGTCCCAAATTAAACGTTGATATCAGTATTCTAATGCCGGAAGAATGTTTTCAGAAAGAGAATTATCTTAATTTAATATATGACCAAAAACGTGCATATTATTTAACTTACATTGCAAATAAATTAATTAACAGCCGCGTATTCGGTAAAAAACTGACAACAGATAAATTGAAATTTAGCTACTATAATAACAATCCACTAAAACCGATATTGGAAATAACGCCCACACCATTAATCGATGACAAAATGAAAACGAATATTGCAAATAAGCTTAGTCTCCGCCTATTTATAGCAGCGGAAGAGAGCGCTTTCAAGTTAAACCGCTTCGTACCATGGAATAATAATGTCCGCGCAAACATTTTCGGTGATGATACTGATGAATCCATTCCACTGGCTACGCCAAATTACAATGCTGGAGTATTATTCGATCTCACTATGCAGAGAAATCAACAATTACTGCATGGCATTTTTGATGAGCGAAAGAATTTTCAAGAAGGTTTGGTTTTGCTGAAGATTTGGTTACGGCAACGTGAATTCGATGTGGGTTTCAATGGATTTTCATCACATTTGCTAGCCATGTTCATTGCTTACCTTTACAAACAACGTAAATTACATATGCACATGAGCAGCTACCAGGTGGCACGTACAGTTTGGAACCAATTAGGTATGTACTCAAATGCACGAACTTAATAGTATTAATATAATTATACACTGGACAGCTTGTGTTTGCTATGATGTTTAAAAAGCCCAAAATAATATTCGGAGAGCTTATAATATATATATATATGTATGCTGAGTTTCGTGAAGATATCTTGATTATATATATATTGTTTAGTTTGGAAGAATGAAGCACGTTCCTGTCATAGAAAATGACTGATACAACCTAAGCGCTTATATGGAAAACTGTTTTTATTCGACAAAGTCTTGAAATTTGTCATAGATTATTATCGAAGGCAATCTTCGAACATATTTTTCAGATCGGACCACTATAACATATGACTGTCATACAAACAAATCAGTTTAAATCAAGACAAAAAAATTCACCTCTGTGGGATACTAAAATTAAAAATGTATTTCCATTTATAGCGTACAGTGCTTGGGATGAGGACGGCAAAGGTATTTCGCTGTCCGATAGCTCTACAGATCTACCCAACCAACCTACTTTGGAGCAATTCCATACATACTACGACGTGGTCTTCGTAGATGTTACTGGCTTTTTTAATATCGCCGCAAATCTAAATTCAGAGATTTATCGTCGTGTGCGTCTAGAAGCTAAATTGGCGGTGGATATGCTGAACGATATGAAAATAAATAGCTTTCACATGCTATTTATGAAGAAAATTCCACTCTATAGCCAGTTCGACAATATACTCAAGTAATGTTCATAATGAATATTTGTTATTATTAATTTGGTATAATGCGTATATTATCTTATTCGTATTGCAGAATAAACAAAAAAGATATTGTTGAGCAAATCTTAGAAATCCATGTCAAACCCGCTGATAAGTATAATTTCGCTGGCTACGCATATCCTGTGCTGTTGAAGGTTGTAGTTGGGTAATTATTATACAAATATTTGTTATATATAATATTCTTATTAATACATTTACATTTCATCTGTAGGCTCCTTAGTAAAGGACTCGGTGAACGTGTACGCGCTTTACTACCGATCGAAAAGTTGGTTGATGCTTGGAGTTGCACAAAAAACCCGCCTGATTGCGCGCGTTACTGTCATCTCGGCATTGTTCTTAATCCGGAAAAAGCGTTTGAAGTCTTAGACAAAGGTCCTGAAACAATCGCTGAAGGTGCTAACGAATTTCGCAAATTTTGGGGTGACAAAGCGCAATTGCGACGCTTTCAGGACGGTAGTATTACCGAATCCGTGGTGTGGGCTGCTACTAGCGACAGTCTGTGGAAGCGCCGTTTGGTTGTTCGTTCAATCGTTACTCATCTACTACAACATCATTTTCAATTAGAAAATAAAGATTTCGAATATATTGCTGGTGAATTGGATATTTCCTACCGTTTAACACCGATATTCCGTACGGATAAAATGCCCGAAAATTTTAAAGTAGAGCAGGATGTCGATGCAGAGGACACTTCACTCAATGTAATACGTTGTTTTGACGATTTGGCACGCAAGCTACATGCGCTGAATGACCTTCCGCTTGAGATTGTCTCCATTGCTGGCATATCGCCCGTGTTTCGCTACAGTGAACCTGTGCCAATTCTACCACAAGCGCGCATGATTGGCGAGCAAATGTATGCTATGCAAGTGCAACGTGGTGTTATACAATTAGGTAATATTATTTAATAATCCTTTTTTAATAATACTCTTAATATTTACATATTTCAGGTCAGAGTGGAAAATGGCCTAGTGAGTTAGGTGCTTTGCGTGCACTAAAAATGGCATTTTACATACAAATAGCAAATTTATTGCGCGAACAATATAATCTAAAAACTAAAGTGACTTACGATGGCCTTTTAGTACTTAAACAAGGCTATTGTTTTGGTATCGAAATGTCGCATCCCAAGGAGGTGGCTCTACTGAAGAAGGAGAAAAGTGAACGGGGCTTAACACAGTATGTCGATTGTGAGGCCAGCATTGCCTTAGAGAAACGACATTATATTCTGCCTAAAGTGACGGGTGCGCTACATGCCTTATATCAGTTACATAACAGTTTTGGTGGCACAGTAATGATTGCGAAACGTTGGCTGAGTACACAATTCCTAGATGATGGTCTGTGGCCAGAAGAATGTACTGAATTGTTGATTGCCGCTCAGTTTCTAAGAGCACCTGCACAAAAAAATCCCACTTCTCCCCAAACAGGTTTCATAAGGTTTTTGCAATTGCTGGCGGGCACTGATTGGCGCAACGAATTGTTCTTATTGAACTTTAATAATGCAATGGATGGTATGTTATTGGCTTGAAATTTATTTATAATGTTATAATTACTATTATTATTTATTTTTGTTTGCGTTTGTATTAGAAAATGCTGTAGCTGATTTGGAGCATCGCTTTAGCACTGAACGTGATATATTCCCGCCGCTTTGTATAGCAACCTCGTTCGATCAAAACCATATGGGTAATTTATGGACATCCGCATGTAAACCGAACATAAATGTACTCGCACGTGTTACGCTATTGGCGCGCCACGCTTTGGATATAATTGAAAGCGCGTTGCTCTCGACTAAACCTTTTATAAAACCTGGCCAAATTTTCATAGCGCCCAATAACGGTTACGATTTCGTAATCCAATTAAAACCAGATTTGGTATCTAACTCATGGGCGCATGAATTCGGTTCATCATTTACGGTGCGTACGAGACCAAATTGGCGTCTGCCATTAGCAGATAGCAATTTTTTACAAAACACGATGGAAAAGCTTCGGGTATGTACAAAAATACAAAACGTAATGATTGGGTACACACAAACATATTTCAAACGTTTTATTTTTATTTATTAATTTTTATTTTTTGCTGCATTCAGAGTTTTAGATAATCTAAAATTTTACAAGGTTATATCGCATTGTTAAATATGGACAGGCACTGACTTCATAAATTGTAAAAAACATATAAGTATGAAAAACTAGAAAGAAATAACAGAGTCAGTTCGATGAAGCTATTATTATTATTTTTTATACCCTGAACAGATATATTTATTTGACCACGAAGTCTGTAAGGTTACAGACACCCACAAGGATTAGAGATATGCACCGCGAACTATTGTGCCCTCCCCTAACTCACAACTCCCCAGCACATGAATGAAATTCAATACGCTACTAGGTGCTGAATCCGAGGGCCTTAATCCTGCGTCTGCAGACTGTTATACAGTCTATTAGCATCTTATTAGGTGTTCTGGGGTTACCGGCTCCATGCCGCAGAACCCTTAGTTTACACAAGAGGCCTGGCCCATGTTGTGTAAGTGCTTTGTGAGTTTGCAGTGGCCGGCGTAAAACGTAACAAGTAGCCGGAATTTATTTCTCGGGAGATTGATTACTATTTTAAATTTGTTGAAGTTGTAACCACCTATTAGCAACCTGGCATAGCGCAAGTATTGAAGTTGTTGTCAATGGCTCTCCCTGCCTGCTCTTTACGGTACAGCTCCTTTATGGTACGGTTCCAACCGCATTGTATGTTTTCCATCCATACCATTCTTTTGTAAGCTAAAAAGCGGGCGTGCTCGTCAACCAGTTCATTCCCAGCTATATCCTTGTGACTAGGCACCCAAATAAGGTACCCTTGGTTTCGATCACATAGGCTGTTCTGCATTACTATACACTCCCTTACTAGTAGTGATTTAACTTTATAAGCGGAGATCGCTTTTAGTACCGCTTAACTCTCGCTGAGTATGGCAATACTTTCGTAACGATAGTTGTGTTGGAGTTTAATCTATACACACCGACTTATTGCATGATCCTTCCGTTTATGAGATACCCATCTGAAACTTTGCACACGTGCTTTTCTACTCAACAATCTGCTCATTTGTTGGCATAGCCTATATCGGACCACTATAGCTCCCAAATAATGCCCTTGTATGTAAAACTTTTTTTATTTGAAAAGTTATCTTGACGAATTTTGGCATCCTGACCTTGCTATGTAATTTTGATATTTATTGTTATAATTCGATTTCAATAGAAAATCTAAACTTTAATTTTTTATTTCAACAGGACGCATATTCGGACTTCGCCGCTTTTTTTTACAACCCCCATGGTGGCAAGGAAATAGCATTAATCTGGAAGCCTGACATATCTAAGGAGAGAGATTTCAAAGTGAACGAAATGAATGGCTGTGCATTAAGCACTGAAAATAGTGGAAAAGTTTTTGTTAAAAAGGAAATCTTAATGGAAGATTTGAAATTTATACTAAAAGATATGTATCTAAGGATCGGTACAGTAGACGAAGTGCTGACTGCTTCGCGTACTACACTGCCTACTATTAGTAAGAAAACTAGCACAACTATCATTGAGCATTTTCAATACAAAACGGGAGAGAAACGCTACTTTACCAATTCCGAGGTGGAGGTGTCAGAAGTAGTGACCAAAAAGGTGAAAAAACAATCAAAAGACCTGAAGATGAATACTATGAAAAATTTTTCGAAAAATAAGTCAGCGAAAAGTTTAAAAGTAAACGGGTTGGCGACAAAGTCAAAGAATATTAACAAAAAAGGAAAGACAAAAAAATTAAAAATAAAAAAATCGGTAATTTCCGATGTCGCGACAAGCAAAAAACAATAAAATTTAATTTTAGTTAAATATTGTCCAAAAACTATAAACATAGTTAAAATAAAATTTCTAACAAAAGATAAAAAAATGTTTAACAGTTACATAAATGAGATCATACGCCGAAAAAAACACGCCAACAGTTTTCACTTAATTATTCACAAATCTAAATTAACGACATTAGAGTTGAAATTGTGTCATTTTACGTTGTTTCGCCTGTTGACGTGCGCACAAATAAGTGGCCGAACTTGTGGTGGGAGGTGCTTGCAAATTCGGTGATAAGTTCTGATCAATATCCACGGTGTTGCAACCGCGTGTGCAACAATGGCTTTTCGTAGAGGGTGTTTGGGGAACGCACTGAGTTCGCGCAATCTCCGTTGTCGATGTAGCCGAAGTATGGTGTAGTGGATGCTACAAAATTTAGATGAATAGCTTAGCATGCTTACATTAAAATATAATAGGGGATATTTCTAAGGAAGAAATCATACCACGGAAGCTTGTGTCGGCATAGTGTTGCAAGCTTTCGACCAATCCAACTGTTGCTGTAACGTTGCTGAAGCCGGTGAATAGCCTGCACTTTGTATACATTGTGCCTGGTTGTATGCCAATAAATCAGGCATTGTCATTGCCATTTGTGTAAACTGTTGTTGTTGTTGTTGTTGTTGTTGCTGCTGCTGCATTGCTGCAGTTATATTGCAGGTACATGCGATTAGATCCGACAAGATTCCTATATTACATGGATTAATAGACGCGTTCTGCTGAAATTGTGTTGGCTGACGGATACTGGCCAATAAAGCATCACGTCCATTTACATTGGAGTCCATGGTATCCATTGGGACTACTTCGCCTAAGTTTAATTATGCGAACATAATAAGACGATTTTCCAATTTTAGTTATAAAAAGAAAATTTTAAAGCTAATATTAATGAGCGTTTAGTTCAAAGGTTAGTATCTAAAAAAATGTTCTAATTTTTCTTTGGTTCATATATGTCGGTAGGGAAATACCGCACACTTTGAGAAAACGCAATTAAATATTTGCATATTGTTTTTGTAACAATATTTTCACCCAAATTGACAGGTCGTTTACCTATCAATTTAGATGCAGTCTGATTCTAAGAAAAAGTCCGGTATCAATAGGATGAGTCCTTAAATTGTCGAATGTAATATTTGTATGTTAAAGATTTCCCTGATTTTTCGATGGAACATTTATGTTCGAAATAATTTTCTTCAAGACATCTTTTTAACCAAATTCAAATATCTGCTAAATGCTATTAATTAATTATGAGTTAATTTAACTCACCCTTTGCATTCAATTTATTGTAAGAATATAGGCGAGAATCTTCAATTCTCCGAACATCCTGCTGTGTGATTATAAAACATTGGTTTCCGACGACCACGGGCACTACAGATATTATCGTAATTTTAAAAAAAGTTTCGAAATAAACTCAAAAGTGCACATATTTACCATGTAAAGGCAGTTGTGCTTGCTCCGCCACTTGTACGACTTTTCGTATAGTTGGATCTGGATTCATTGTTACCTTTATGTTAGGAAATTATAAGCCAGATTTTAATCCAAAGCAGTTATTTGATAGAATTTTGAATTTCTTTAATAGCTCCCTTAGTTCCGTATTAAGATATTTTTTTAAATTAATTTTTGAAAGGCATTGAAATGTAAATTTGAGCAGCTGAATAGTGTGTGAAGTTTTTGACTTCTGAACACTTTTACCACACCCACTAAGTTGAGTGTGAATGTTCCCAGCCATGAATGTTGAAATTATCCACTGCTTTTAAATATTGCCAAACTAATAAGACACATTAAGGTTTACAATTTTTAGCTATAAAATGCAAAATTTATTTCTCATTTAAAAAGACATTTTAACAATTAATTTAATTTAATAAATGAATGCCGTTGAGGGGATTTCGAATGTCTTGTCATAAAGTCATTTACATATGTAAAAAAATAAATCAGTTCAAAATTAAAAAGAAAAACAAACGAACTACTAAATAAAATAACTACACTAATAAAACATGCAAAACTAAAAAGTGCACACTGACAATGTTGCAATAGAGAAGTTTAAAAAAATAGCGCTATATAGTAACATGGAGTAAAGAAAGGATAGCGCTTAATGTTCTCTATTAAGTTAATCATTCTGTACACACACGTACACACATATGTATGTATAATACAAATAATATACGCAGATGTCTTATAATTTCTTTTTGAACATTTTTTCAGAATAAGCAACTTTTATATTTCCAAATTATCATACTAGCTATCCTTTCGTTATGTATGTTAAATAATATAAATAAAGATGAAAAATTGATTAAGTCGTATGTATAGTTGTTATTTAATGTGTGCGGCAACCCAAGGATGTAGAAATACTTGATCCAGCGGAAGGCGTTGTTGGGGATTTAACACCAGAAGTTTGGAAATAAAATGTGCTGCTGCGCGTGAAACAAATTCCGGTAATTTGTAATCAACTTTAATTATTTTTTTATATGTCTCGTCATAGTCAGTAGCAAGGAATGGCGCACGACCCACAATCAGTTCGTAACATAAAACTCCTAAGCTCCAAAGATCTACATTTTTAGTATGTGGCTTGCCTTGCACCATTTCAGGTGGCAAATAATCAAGTGTGCCGCATAATGTTGTGCGCATAGAGTTCGGTTCGTGCACTGACCATCCAAAATCTGCTATTTTCAAATCACCCTTGTGTCCCAACAATAAATTTTCCGGTTTGATATCACGATGTATAACATCACGCTCATGTAGATACTGCAATGCTGATGCTAGAGAGCGTATATAAATAGCTGAGGTCGGTTCGTTAAAACGTTTCAATGGCTGTGATTGTAATTCCTTGAAAAGTGTTCCCTTGGGTGCATATTCTAATATAAGATAAATGCGTGCATCATCGTGAAAATAACCGTATAAACGCAGTATATGTGGGTGTCTTAAATGTGACTGTATTTCAATTTCCCGCCTTACTTGATGTTCTACGTTTGACTCGTGTATCTGCTTTTTAAATAACACTTTGAGTGCAACAACAAATTTTGATTCTTTTTCGCGTGCAAGATATACATTACCGAATTTGCCTCGTCCAAGTGGTCTTCCAATATCGAAATTGCTCAATGACCACGATTTCTTTTCCTTTTTGTTACACTCACCAGTCTTTTCGTTTTCAGCTTTATTTGATTCATCTTTCGAATCTTTGTCTTCTACTTTCGCAACTGTTTTCGGTGGTACTCCTGTTGAGTTTGCATTTGGTTCGAAATTGGATCTTTCTTTGTCTGTTTTTGTTTGATTACTTGCAACCTTATTGCTAGATGAAGTTGACACGACAGAGGCGCTAGGTTTTGTCATGGATACTGTAGCTGCAGGTGCAACGGCTTGTTGGCTAATGTGTTTCGTGGATGAAACCAAAGGTCCTGTTATTGTGCGAACAGGATTGTTGCTTGTTAATAATTTCTTCTGCGTGACAGCTGTAGATGTAACTTGAGTTGTTCTTGAAGCAGGTAGACCTACTAGCAAATTTCCAGCTCTATTGGAAGGCATTGGTCTTGGCATAGCAATTGGGGATACGCCTTTCATATCTTCGTTTAAGGTCTATAAATAATTTCGTATTGGTACTGTTACTCTCGGTTCTTACTTAAAATATCATTTTAATCACTTACATTTTTCGTATTATGTTGTTTCTGCGGTGGCGGAGGCAGCGGTTTTATCGCCTGCAAATGGTTCTCCTTGCCATTTAAAGCACTAATTGGCTTTCTATACATTTCGTCTTTGTATTCAACTTATTTCTTTATTATTTCAATTACTTATAATACGAAATTATTCTTTACATGAAACAATTTTGTAGCGAAAATGCCGTTTGAAAATGCAATGTGCGTATAACAGCCCTTTTTGAAAACTTATTGGTATTGGTAAGTGGCAAATGCATTGACATCAACTCATTCCGTCGATAAAGCTGTTAAATAGCGTGGCCATATCTCAAAATTTATATAAAATCGATTAGAAATTAAAAACAATAATTTGTTAATTTTGTTTTTCGCTGAAGAGTTCGTATTTAATAATGTATATATTGCGTAAATAATTTATATGCAAAAATCAAAGAATAATTGTATGGTACAAGTTAATCAAGGTCGACTAAATTGTTTTATACTTTTGCTTTGTTCAAACAGTTTTTTGAAGTTAAAATTTTTCATTCCTCTTCCTTTAATTGATTTATTTTACATTTGTATGGCATCACTGTAAAATTTATATTAATATGCGAAACGCTAGCAAAACAGGAGTATTTTATTTTACAAAAGATATCGTATTAATAGAAATATTTGTTTGAATTAATCAAAATTAGTTATTTTGAAAAGTGTACTGGTTAAGTATATATATTGTGCAAATATTAAAGAAGATACACATCAAAATGTACTCCGCTGGCGATTCTAGTGGAGACGGCTTAAGCGGTCTAAATCAATTTGCTGGCATGAGTGGGTCGATAGACTGGGCAGCTATGGCCCAACAGTGGATTCAAATGCATGACACTAGTAATTTTATATCAATGCCAGATGCACCGCCACCACCAAATATTAGTAACACACTTAATGAAGTAAAGATGTCAGCTACGACAAGCACGATCGCAATTAAGAAATCATTCGATGAAAAAGGAGAAGCCGATATGGATATGGACGAAGACGAAGAAAGTGCGAGATGTGGTGATACACCACCCTCTCCAGCGCCTTCAACGCAACTAGGTAAAAATAGAAATCATCCAGTTATGCAACCACAATCTCCATGGTTTATGCAGCAGCCAAATATAGTTGTTGGACCACCGGTAGCTGAAAATCTACCCGGTATAGGTATGATAATATATATTGAATAAAAAAAAAATATATATACATATATATATATATTATTTTGTATTACATTTAGGTAATACCACCACGCCAATCATTCCATCTGCACCACAATGGAATGCCACCGTTTGGCCACCACGTATAAATTTACCACCACCGGTTCCACCAACTATGTTAAATGTACCATTAAATAGTCCTATGCCAAACCCAACAGCACATATTCCATCCCTATTAAAGATGAATGTACCAAACCCTAACATTGTAAGAATGATTTCAGCTAATACAGGAGAACAAAACCCAACGCAGTCCGTGGTGGATGCAAAAAAAAGGAAAATGCTTCCAGCTTGGATAAGGTGAATATGAATTTGTGAGAAAATATGTTTATTAATATTATTTTGTTGCTCAAAGGGAGGGTTTAGAAAAAATGGAGCGGGAAAAACAGAAACAATTAGAAAGAGAACAAAACAAGCAACACGAAGATCCGGAAGGTATTGATGACACCAAATATACTGAGTTTGTAGGTACAACCGATGATGCAACGCACACGGTAAACATGAAATATAAACAGTCTGCGGTAAGTTCAAAATCCTTATTTAGTAACTTAAAGGCTGAAGTGTTACTTCCGGCCTTGCCACATGAAACCTTTCATTTGAAACTCTCTCAAGTATGAGGACTTTAGAGAGAATGATGAAAGGTAACACAACTGTTTTACTAAATAAGAAACAATTTAGGAGAGGGAGAACGATAGAACAGGTTGTAAGGATGAGGGGGAACTAGAAGACTTAGATGGCGTGGCAATAACCGATGACACATTAGTTCTACCTCAAAATCCAACCCCAAAYGACGATGATGGCAGTGGCAATAGTGGCGCGGAATATGAAACAGATAACGAAAATAGTTCTGAACAGCAAAATTATAAGGGTAAAAGAAGCTATGAAGATAGACTTGCGGACCTGGTATGTACATTAAAACTAATTTTCATCTTAATACATATATTTTAGTACACTAAGCTTTAATTTTTGTTTTTCATTTAATAAACAAATCGAAATACGCCATTTTATACATACATATGTGACGTTAACGCCAAACATGTGTTTGTATGTGCTATCTTGATGTGCAAACATACAAATGTATAATGCTGATTTGAAATCACAACTAAACATAATGAAATTGAAATGAACTTTTACAACTGATCGTTTCGCCAAAAATAAAAATATGCCTCTGTACCGTGTTAATTATATTGTACACCTACCCTCATATACAAATTGAATTCGTTCTAACCCCTTTGATCAACCTTGGGGCGAAATTCTTAAAATTTTAACATGCTTAGATGATAGTGGTGCGGACAACATTAACCGAACTCCTACTTGATGTTACAAATAAGGAGATCGCAAACTTGGCGCAAGAAGCTGTCAATGCGCACAAAGCCAAAGGTACTAAGTCTAAATTTTAAGTTATTTCATATGCATATTTCCTTCTAGTGTTTTTGTGATATTATCGTTGCTGAGGCATTGGTGCAATGTTGAACATGCATAAAATATTTGCAACTCTTAAAGTTGACGTTGATTAACACTTGCCTCTCTATACTGCAACCATGTTAATTAGAATGAACTTTATCTGTTAACCAAATGAAATTATGTACATTTTACATATACTCGATACCTACGAACTTGTATAAACAAAGCGTCATCAGCTCAAGTGATCCGTAAAAGCGCGCTATCCTCCATAACCGGAAAATTGGGTAAGTCAACTCTCTATGTTTATTATAGGTTATATAAATATACATATGTACGTGTATATATTTCCACATATTGGTTGTTATTATGTAGTTTCTGTCGGTATTATTTATTTGTAAAAAATTGATTCGTTTCTGTTTAAAACGTTTAGCAGGTAAACTGTGCAATAATTCATTTTCCAAAATATATTACAAAAAACTATCTAAAAGTTAGATAAATTTTAATATGCATACTATATATGACTATGCTATAAAACTGAGGAATTTTAGTTAAAGCTTCTTCAGAAAGTTTTACTTCTTGAGGGAAAAATATCAATTCTGTGATGAACTCTTTTCAAATGGGATCACTTTAATGCCAAATTATGTGCTTTGCTGCTATAAATTGTTTAGCAAACTGTTCTACTTTTTCTGTCCCCTAATAAATATTACTATCGCCCAATACTTGTGGTGTTAGTTCTTGTTGTAGACTACAATCACAGTACTAAATGAATATAGTTTTAGCATTCGAATTAGCAGCAAAATTTTTTCTAGGCTTAGCAGCATACGATGATTCTACAGGTGATGAGAGCAGCGACTCTGAGGATGGTGCTTCCGCGGATGATGGTCCCAACAATGACTCAGAGGAGGAATTAAAGGTATAACTGTATAAGTTTTAAATAATACCGCACTGTTTAACATTTTCTTTGTCGTCTATGTATGTATATAGGCGTCCATACGTGCGAAGCGACGCGCTTTTGCTAAAATAACGGATGATATTGAGGAAAGCATTGCTGCGAGTGCGGCACGTGAGGAGCAAAAACTAAAGTATTACACTTCTTTGGAAAAGCAAGAGGATGTTGATAAACCGTACAAGAAAGAGATTGCAGTCGGCGATATAGAGCGAAATGAAGAAAACTCAATGTCTTCGGCCACAACAAGCACAGTTAGTAAAGCATACGACCGGGATTTTGGTGAGACAACTGAAACAAAGTTACAAAACTCAAACGGTGCGTTTGTTCGTATACACTTTCTCTGCCAAATCTAAATAATTTGAACAAAAAACAGAAACAAAATCGGCGAAAAACGACTAAAATTTCTAGAGTGAAAGAAGAAAAATTTTATATTTAAAATTTCTTAATAATGAATAGTATTATTATTGGGAGGTTATAAGCAATCCATTTCAATTCAGATAGAATTTTACACACACAGTAGTGTATATAATTTTTTCCCTAACTAAAATCCTAAATCTGCCTAGTTGAAATTGAATAAAATTACACCTTGAAAATTTTTTGAATATAATTTCATTATATAACTTATTTATTGCTCAGTTAATCTCTTTAAAATTTGTTGTGAAGAAAAAACCATGCAGCAAGTGGCAATACCATACGGAAGTGGATGTTTTGAATGAATCTAACCTTTCAAGCGAAGCATTTTTAGTTTTTGATTTTAAATATGCGTTCGTAAAGAATAGTCTTTTTAAATGTCTTCCATTTTCTAGTTATGAAATTATGGATTAACATTTTTTTTACAAAATATCGCTAAGTAGTAACCTAAAAAAAAAGTAAATTTGTTAATTACTTATATTCGTAGGCAAACGTCAAAAGGATCGGAATTCGCGCAAAGAACGAACCACACGTTTCAGCGATAATAAAGATTCGAAAAGCGCTGCTGCTGTTGCCGTAACTTATATGTCGAAGGTACACGGGGTAAATGCAAATTTGAGTGGAAATCCAAATGGCAGTACAATTTTTCCTGTTGCTTCTTCCACGAACGCCTCTTCAGTGTTGGCTACCGGAAGTACGTCAACGTCATCGATTGCAATGCCGCCCGAAAGTACCCATATCGCATACAATGTAGCAAGTAAACTTGTTGATGATAGTAGTGGTGGCAGCGTAACGGCACTAAATAAAAACTTATTAAACGCAGCTGAGGCTGCTTACGATAAAGTTACGAAAGGTGCGAGCAGCAGTCGTTCGTCCGCTTCACGTACGGAAAGGGAACGCAGTCATCGTGGCAGACATTATGATCATAGAGATCGTGAAAGTGATCGTTATAGGGAACGTGGAAGCGAACGAGAGCGAAAGCGTAATACGGTGCGCGAAAGTACGCGTGATAAAGATCGCGGAAAAGAGCATCGCCATCATAAAAATAAACGAGAAGATCCCTCGACTGACGAGGATGATGGCAAGGAGGAATCGCAAACATCATCAAGCGATACAGATACCTCGACTACATCATCATCAACATCGTCGTCATCTTCTTCGCAACAATCAAGCCACTACAGTCGCACATCGACTTCGTCTAAGAAAAGGCGTGAACAGGAGTATGATCGACGTAAAAGCCGCGATGAACGTAGTCATCGCAGAACAAGGAGTGGGCGCAGTCGCAGTCGTAGCCGTCAGCGTAGTCATCACCATACCCAACGTGGAAGCAGTTATCGCCACTCCAGCGCAGAGGATGACAACGACAGGCGAAGTCGTCAATCATCTTCACGACATGGTTCGAAGAGGAAATATTCGCGTTCCCGTTCACGTTCAACATACTCATCTTCATCCCATTGGCGTAGACATTAATTCAATGTCGCTTGAGTGTAGTCTCTTTTTATTGTAGAAAAGAAATGCATTGTATTCTTTCGATTGTTTTCTTTTTTTTWTWWTWTTTTTTTGTCTTGATTTAAATATTTGCTTATGTCTCTTATTTTAACTACAGGTAATATACATTTTTTTAATTATCTTTCGGCATCATTGAACAAAACGGAATTAATGTATATAAAGAAATTCGACTTCAAATAGGTGTATTCATTATGAATTTAAAATTTTGAAACTATATAAAAAAATATTCGCGTTGAGTAATAATAAACACAAATAAAACTGAGCTCTTTAGAAACCCGCTTGAAAAGAAATATAATAAATCATGCTTCAAAACTAAATATTTTGTTTGAAAACATCATTTATAAAATTCATGACATTTTAAGAGCATTAAAACAGATGGAGTCCAATAATTTGCGCTTCGTCAAAATGTTGATGAATTTATATCGAAATCATTGGAACTTGTCAAGGTCTTACTTATCCTAGTGCAAGTCTTAAATCGTCTTCTCAAATTAATCACTTAGAGCTTAGTTAGCAATAAAAAATTCAGAACTAATTGAGTGACATTTTACAATTTTTTTATTGCCTTTACTTGCAACCGTGATATTAAATTTTTCAATACTAATCCTTTCCGAAATCACTCGCAAGTATCAAGTTTAATCGCTTTATTTAATCGACATTTCGCATATGGATCGTTTTCGGCATCAGGTGGTGCAGCATGATTATTTGCTATGCGATGAGTTTTGAGCGCTGTACCACTTATAAAAGCCTCATTGCAAATATTGCACTTATAAGGTTTTTCTCCGGTATGTCGACGCATATGAATACGTAAGTCATTCGATTGTGTGAATGATTTATGACATTCCGAACATTTGTATGGTCGTAGTCCGGTATGTATACGCATATGCCTGGATAATTTATTTGGTCTTGTAAACGATTTTCCACAAATAGTACATACATGTGGCCTTTCGCCAGTATGTTGTCTCTTATGTACCACTAAATCCTGACGTCGAGGAAAACCCTTTTGACATTCATCACATTGGTATGGCTTTTCACCTGTGTGTCGCCGTATATGTATTACTAAGCTTGCTTGAGCGAAGCTTCGACCGCAGTGAGGGCATATTCCACGCTTGTAAGTTTTTTTCGTTTTTGTAGTATCAGTGGGATTTGTATCTGATTCAGCGTTATTAGCAGCCGTGGTCGCCGGGTGCATGGCTCTTAGATGACGCTCCAAGGCAAAGGGTCTAGCAAAAGTGCGGGGGCAATGGTCACATTGTATTGGCTTATCCTCAGTGGGTTTTGGCGCAATAGCAGCAATACACTCTGGTGGCACATTTGTATGTGCTGTTTGTATATGTTTTTCCAACGTTATATTTCTGGCAAAAACACGTTCACAATGAGGACACTTCCTCCAATTGGTTGTGACAAATGTTCCTAGGCGCGAGCCGATAGCGAATCTAGTTTGTTTTTTCTCAACAATGTCAGTATTTTGGATTGTTCTTTTATGCCTTCTGATTAAAAAAGAAATAAATTTGATCAAAAAATTATTTATAAAATTTCAAGAGAAAAAGAGAATCAATCATTACTTCCTGTTGTTAACCTGTTCTACTTGTTCTGTAACATCTTCAATGTTTACCGCTTCAAATTTTACAAATTGAAGCTCATCTTCCACATAAGTTTCACTTTTATTTTCAATAGAAACCTCGTCATCGCTGCTTTCCTTATCTACATCTGTAACATCTTCCTCATTATTATAGTCGTCAAGTAGATATTCTGTCTCTAATTCTTCGACATTTTGACTATCTTCATTATTTGTGTCATTTTTCAATTCAGTAATAACAAACGTTTCTTCATCTGTTTTCAATTTTGTATGATACGACTTTTGATATTGCTTTAACAAAGTTTCTGACCGTTCCACTAAACAAATATAATCGTAAGCACTTAGAAGTTTAAGGGTACAATCTGCACAAATACGATTTGGTAATGTTTGACCCCCACATTGATTAATCGCCGGTGTCTGAAAGAACAGATTAACATATTAGCAGCATAATATGTAAGCGGAAGCGTTATTATTGTTTTTACTTGAACATTAGTAGCACGTAGGATTTGAATAAATAAGCTATTTAAGACAAATGTATCATTGCCGTATTCTACTTCGTCGTCGAGGGAGTTTGTGTCAGCAATGCTTTGTAAACAGGTACGACAAGATTCATCGCTAAGGGTCAAAACACTGTAGTCAGTATCCATTGACTAAATTTAATAAAATTTATTTAAAATTTTGGTTTAGAAAATAGTTCGTATTCGTGACACAAAAATTAGATACTATAGAGATGTGCTTACAAATATAAACAATGATCATATGTTGGGATATGTTTATCGAAATTACTCAACATCTGAGTTTTAATAAAGTTGCTAAACATTTGATCATTACTTTTATTTGCTAAAATGTTTTAACAACCGGTGTTTAACAATTAATTAAATAAAAGTGTTTATATAATTATTAATAATGTGATAAATGCATCATATATATCATAAATTTTGTGCATTTTAATCAGTTGTGCCGTTGCGAAAACAATACCGGTAACTTCATAAATATCTGTCAAATATTAAAATACACAAGTTCTTATGGACCCAGTTATTTTGACAGCTGCACGACTACACGCTGCAGGCCGACAGTAGTCGCTCTCGCTAACTTCATGTGAGGAACACAATGCTCGCGACAGACTGCAGCATCACGACAGTGAACTGAAAACGACGTTGTGAATCCTACTACATGAACGTTTGTGAGAGGGCAGCAACATAACA